AACATTTAGGATTGGCTTTGAGTGCCGAGGCCTTTTTGTCATGATTATGGGATATGTGTTAATGTGATTGAACATGTTATGGGCTCGATACCATTTATGAATGTGTTATGGGCTTGAGGTCATTCATGATTTGTCATTTGTGAATTTATTATTGGTTTGACATCATTCTTGGCTCGTTATTTATGAATGTGTCATGCTAATTTTTATGTGTTATAGGCTTGAGGTCATTTGTGGCTCATAAATTCATGAGCATATTATGGGTTTGATGTCATTTGTAGCTCGGCATTTATGAATGTGTTATAGACTTGACACTATTAGTGGACCATCAATTTTATACGTGTTATGGTCTTGACGCTATTTGTGGCTTGCATTTTGTTAACGTGTTATCGAGCTTGATGGCATTTTTATATGTGTTATAAGCTTGATGTCACTCATGGCATCACCATTTTTATACGTGTTATGGGTTTGATGCCATCATGGCATTACCACTTTTAATGTATTTATGGGTTTAATGCCATTTATGGCATCGTCCTTATGAACGTGTTATGTGTTTGATGCCATCGTGACATTGCCAATTTTAATCTCTTTATGGGTTTAATGACATTGGTGGCATCGTCACACGTGAACATGTTATGAGCTAGATGCCACTCATGGTATCGCTCTTTTTAACATGTTTATGGGCTAGACGCCCACTCATGATCTCACCATTATAATATGTTGATGGACTTGATGCCATTTGTAGTATCACCATTTTTAATGTGTTTATGACTTAACGTTGTTTGTGAATGTAATGTATTTATGGGCTTGACGCTATTTATGCCATCATCATTTTTAAAGTGTTTATAGGTTTGACTCCACTCATGGCATTGTCATTTTTATGTGTTTATAGGCTTAACAACACTCATGGCATTGCTAGTTTAATGTGTTTATAGGCTTGATGCCACTCATGGCATTGTCATTTTTAATGTGTTTATGGGATGATGCCATCATAGCATCACTATTTTAATATCTCTATAAACTTGATGCCATATGTGGCATCATTATTTATTAATGCATTATAAGATACCATTTATGGCATCGTTATTTTTTAATGTGTTATGGACTTGACGCCACTCATGGCATCGCCATTTTTTAATGTGTTATGAGCTTGACATCATTCATAGCTCGTCATTTGTGAATGTGTTATGGGTTTGATGTCATTCATGGCTTATCATTTGAAAATGTGTTATGGGCTTGATACCACTCATGGCATGACTATTTTAATATATTTCATGGGCTTGACACCATTCATGACTCACCAACTTTGAATGTATTTATGGGTTTGATGTCGGTGGTGGCATCATCATTTTAATGTGTTTATGGGTTTGACACCACTTATGACATCATCATTCTAATGTGTTATGGGATGGACATCATTCGTAGAATTACCATTTTTAATATGTGTTATAGGCTTGACACCACTCGTGCCATCACTATTTTCAAATGTGTTATGGGCTTGACATCACTAGTGGCTCCCCATTTCTTAAACGTTTTTTTCCTTTTATTTCGAGTGAGAAAACGGGCCTTCGACTAGTCTCATTTCTAAATCACTCAACCAATCAATTTTCAATCCAAAGACAAGCACACTCAAGTGGGCATAGATTCATAGTATAATAAAAACCAAACATTGACATTCAACGTGCATGCAATATAGCATACTTCGGGTAGGACGAGGTTGTGGTGATCTTGACCTTCCTACTTGTAACCAACCTAGTACCTAGAATTCGTGTAGATCAATCATTTAGGTCTTTTTTTTTTTTTAATACAAGATAGTGACTCTTTTCTATTATCCTATTTTCAAAGCATTCGTCAAACGTCGATGTGGCACCTGCGATAAGATACATAGGCAATTTGACAATAATTAATCATGTTTTTATGCCTCATATTTTTCCATTAGATACTACAACCATCCATCTTTTGTATTTTTTTTTTTTATTTCATCCCTTCATTCAAAATTTCTTATTTTTTTATCAAAAGAAAAAAAATTATTTAGTATCATTAAACTTCACTTGTTGTAAAGAGACAACATATGAAATGTATCATTTTTTTCTTAATCAAAAGTGTTAGTAAACCATAAATTTAACGATCTTATTCACGGGATCTTATGTATTAAATTGAATGTAACTTATGTATTAAACATCAATATCGGTGCTTTAATTTTCAAGTTTTCTACAGATTAAGAGACTAAATAATAAATAATTAATTAAATAGACCAAACATTGCTAATAATCCAACTAATCATCACAAACTTTATTTTGCTTATTTTACCTAACTCGGTATTTTTTATAAACTAATTATGAAAGCAAACTAAAATTGATTAATACTTAAATAGCCATAATTAATTACATTAAATGTGCAATAAATATCTTAGACTCGATTTAATTTGCTTTTATTGTTATTTATCATAGAATCTTATTCATGAAATTAAATAGAGTTCCAAGGCGAAAATATTCAACATGCATATGATTGTAGACCAATAAAAAAATTGAGACATAACTTAAATTAATTGCTTAAACTTCATATTAATTTGGAATACATAAACTATCATATTAATTTGAAATTATACACGATCCAAAAAAATTATTTTGTACTTGTAACTAATAAAGGTTGAATATATATGAGAAAGTAAGTGGTATGGTTGATGTAAACATAATTAGCATATCAAGCATCCACTTCTAATGCTTTTTAAACTCTAAGCTCCCAATAAATTACCCACAATATTCCTTCGTATAATCTTCATATAAAGATCTTAATTTCTCATAATTATATTTACATTGTCGGGAAATTTTGTTTTGAAAACAAACAAAAAAAAGGACAAATAATGCAAATATTTTGAAATTTAAAAACATAATAATTGTAGAAGACTAAGAAGAAATCATATGAAAACTCATAGAGTATTCAATGGTAGATTAAAAAAAAAACTAAACTAAACTAAACTAAACTAAACTAAATCCAACTAAAAAAATTATATCACTCACCAAGATTGAAACTAATAAAACTTGTCCGTCATGAAAGACCCAAATATGCTTGGAGAACAAACAAAAAAACATCTTCACCAAATCTCCCTCAAACTAAGTTAATTTAAAAGGAAAAGAAAAGCACAAGAGCTCGATTTTTTAAATGGAAAGAGGAACATCACTTTCTATAATTTCTAACAATTATTGTCTTCTAAATTAAATTAATATGAAGAGAGAGAGAGAGAGAGAGAGAGAGAGAACTATTGATTAAAGATTTTTAAAAGATAACGGATGAAAGTTATCAAGTCAATAAATTACATACAAAGAAAATGTTACTCTTCTTTTATTTTTAAGGCAAAAGTTGAAAAAACCTTGATGCTAAACCTTTATAGCCTTCTCTTTGTTCATTTTATAAAGGTATTACTTGATTAATGGCTAATGTTATTGATGGAGTGGAAAGTTGGGAAGATATGTTATTAATTCGAGCATAAAGGGAAAAATGGTAAGAGAAAGAGAGTAAAAAGGAGAGGGGAAATAATAAAAGAAAGAAAACAACATGAAAGGAGGAGGAGAGAGGACTTTTAACCGGCAATTTATAACAAGTATAGGAAATTATTGACATATCAAATTGTTACCGAATAGTTTTGAAAAGTTTCAGTTTTATATGTACGTAGTAGATATATATATATATCAAAATTTTAATTTATTCCTTGTTTTGAAGTATGCAAACCTTCGATAAAGCAAATTAAAGTCTAGTGATGTATTCTTTTTAAGGGATTGTTTTCTTAACGATACTGCTATCGTTAGTGATGAGATTGGAAAATCTACTATGACATGATAGCTCTTCATAGAGCCGATGTGGAAAGAAGTTGTATTGGCTTGAGTAACTATAAAACAAATCTCCTTAGGGAGATAAGGGATCTTCCAATGTTCAAATTAGCATAGAAAAAGAGATATAACCTCGAAAGGGCTAGTTGCAAATGCCAAAAGAAGATAGTCAATAGGGATTAAGAGATCAACGATTGTGAACTTGTTACCCAAAAAGACTATCTTTCAAGTGCAAGGAGAAGATAATCAACGAGAGGTTGAGAGATTAGATATCGTGAACTCGTTATCCTAATATTCATGATTGAATCTTGTCTCGTTTGCATGAAGAGGACGAGTAGAGACGTTAATTACATTACCACTTATAATTTCGGAGTTTGATTAAGGGTTATGTGTGTAGAATTGGCGAATCATTGTTGTAGGCGATGATGTAATAGGTAATGTTTAGAGGCGAGTCTTAAAGACGTAGGTGTATAATACGGGTATAACTTGTTCTTGTAGTTGGTGGGTGATATACCCGATTGACTTGAATTTGCATATGAGCTCAAAATATGTCCGAGAAAACCTAAAGAGTTGTGAATCTCTTATATGGTACAAATGCCCACCCGTTTAGGATATACCCTTCTCTCCTACTCATCTATCCGAATATGGTCTAATGACGTTTGTTGTGATACATAGAATTATGAAAAATTTTATAATACTTAATGATTAATTAGTGTGCAAGTACGATAGTTACTTAATTGACCTATTTTGATAAAAGAGATAGATAAAAAAAAATTACATCCGGACTCATCAAAAGTAATAAGAAGATTTTCGCATTCGTTCGTTTTTATTTAATATTCTCTATCTTGTTTCTCTCTTCTTTTTTATATCTAACTCTTTTTTTAAAATAACCCATAAAATAATTATTATATATACTACTAATTACCCATTGAGTATTATGAAATTTTTCCTTGAATTACTTGGACGCTTGTCAATTTAACGAGAACTTATAAAGTACATGTGCAACATTAATTAGTACATCAGTTGACTGAGGGACAAAATTTTCGCCATTATTTTTTCCTTCACTAATCCGAAAACTTCTTTTATGGGGGCAAAGGCAATGCTTAAAGTCTCTTATTTTCACTGTCGAAATCAATTTGCTCATATGTCAATTTCATATTAAATGCTTGATGTAAGACCCCTCTGGTGTTCGCTGGCCACCAGTGCCCTACATTTTTGGGCATGGTAGGCTTCCAAATTCCAAAACCTTTCCAAATGGCCACTTCCTATATGGGTATGAGGTCCTGAATCTTATTTTGGATACGCTAGGCATCCCTGTCACTGTTGCGCTTGTTGGGTGCAGCAGCCGAGTACCAAACCCAACATTGGGAAAGGTAGTTGGTTCTCATCTACCTTCCCGTGAGCGGCAGATGGAAGGAATGGATGCATGTAACCACAAACCAAATAACCAGGAACGATATTTAAAAAGTCTCTCAATTGTTAGTGTCTCTTTCACTCTCTCTGAGCACTCTGCACGTACCGGCTGTATACAGCAGATTTGGATGAAATTAGGACATATCATGATGCTTTTTGACAGACCCAACATCTCGAGGAGCATATGCCATGGTTTGGGATTGCAAAATATAGAAATGAGTTATTCAAGCTTAACGGTTAACAGTTCAAGTCCCAAAAAAAAAAAAAAAAAAAAAACAGCGTAACAAGAAATGTATAAGCCAAACTATAAATTATATAAGCAACCTTATCAAAATCATGCCACAAAAGATGATGCGGCAATGAAAAGTGCCTAGGTTCTTCTCTTTTTTCTTTTTTTGGCAAGTGAGCTAGTAACGCCAATTGATTATGAACAAAATTATATATTAATTAAAATACTGCATTTACAAGAAGAATAAATATAGAGAGTTTAATATATATATATGGGCAAACTTCAAATTACTATTTAGCTATATAGATAGTGTAAATGCATCCGTTAAACAATTTTTTCTATTAATTTTACTTTCAAACTTTTCTAACATTTTAAAAATTTTGTCCATATTTTTATCCAAAATATGCTTTCTTTTATATAAAAAACGACATTATTTTATAATGTTTTTCAATAATTCTAACAAAAGTAAGTAATTAATTGAAAAAGAAAAATCAAAATAATGTAATGATAAAAAAAATAGTTTAGGTATAAAATTGATAGTATACCGATGATTTAATAGTATATATGATATTTGCAATTTCTTTAAAAACAAAATAGAATAGGGACTTAACTAAAAAAAATTTTGAAAAATTCGAAACCACAAACATCTTTTGGCGTAAGTTAAAATATGAAATCATTGGGGTGAAGAATAAGAAAAATGTTTTTTTTTTCTCTTTTTATGAGCTTGGGAGAATGAGATTGATGTGATATATGATTTTACCAAAGCACAGAAAGTAAAATGATTCTCTTGTTTTTTGTGCGGAAGGTAAAAAGTTGCTGGAAGTATGTCGTTTGTCTTTTGCTACATCATCTGTATACGAAGGTGGCATGTGAACAAGTCGAGTCAAGTCAATGTATGTGGTCTTTCCAATTCCAATGAACCCTGTTTCCACTTATATACAAAGTTGTGTTTCTAATAAACAGATTCAAATCCTTAATTCATGCAGAAACTACTAACATGTTATATTTTTCCCATTGCAAATTAGCCATATTTCAGAGATAGGAGTCCCTGAAATTACAAGTACCTGACCGGAAAAAGAGAATTCAAGGAAGCAAAACACTGCTGAATTTAGAATATGCTTGTTGGCATGCTTCAACACTGGCACTTTGATATTGTTAGGATGGAGTATTAATTAATTTTTAACAAGCAGTCTTACATCTAGGTCGTAAATTTATATAAATATACTATGGAAAACGGTGATCACGTGTGTTAAAGTATTATTATATCTTATACAAGTTATTTTTTCTTAAAAAATAAAAATTAATTCAACTACAAATTCATTAATAACGATTAATGTTTTGGTCTCCAGCCCAGATGTTGATTTTGATTTCTTTTGACCGCCAGCATTCCTTTGAATAAAAAGATGAGGAAATGACTCAGTTTAGATTTCTGCCAATATTTTATTCAAAGTTGTTCCCCAAGCCACCCACAGGAAGGATGCTATTGCATCTACATTGTTCATGGCACACCATCACTCTATTATAAATTATTTACAAGAAATTTCTTGACAACTATATGTAGCACGTCTTCAAAATTGCATAATTTGCATTTCCAATATATGTTGAATTACGGATACATAAGAAATGTTTCTTAGAACAATATGTGTAAATATTATTTTGTTTCCAAAACAAGAACCCAGATGCTGGCCTACATCATACTTTTACTGGCGGAGCTGGTTCATAGGTAAGGAGGTAAATATGAAAACATTAATTTTATTTTACTTTTTTTTTTTTTTTTGGAGTTAATTACCTCCAACAACCTCTTTTATTTTGGATGTCATTATATTTTTTATTTTATATTTTGAAAATTTAATACTTTTCCTTTTTTTTAGTTGTATTTTCCACATTTCGTTAAAATTCTATTAGTCGATCTTGATAAATTAAGTTGATTTTTTTCTATCAAAATGCCATAAAATGTCCAAATAACTTTTAAAAAGATAATAAATGTTTGAAATAGATAAGTAAAATGTTTATTTTGTATGAAAAGAATTCAGTCTGAACAATCATTCCTTTTGATGTTAGTATAAAACATCAAGCAAAATGGGTAGCATTCATCCATGAGTCTGTTTTTGTTGTTCTTTTCAATAAAAAAACGCATCACTCCATTTTCTCTCCAAAAAAAAAAAATCCTTAAAATCTGGTCTTCATTAAACCCTTATTTGGATATTTCCTCTTGGGAGGAAAAAAAATGAGAGGAAAGAAGACTATTTTCTACTTATTGTTTAGATAAGAGTAGAAATGAAAGGAAATAAAGTATATTTTTCTTGTTTAGATAATTGTAAAAAGAGGAAAAAAAGAAATATATTGTTGTATATTTACTATAATACCTCTATGATTATATTTCTATATTTAAATACTTATAATAAATTTGTATGAATATTTTTTTTCATGAAAATAGAACAAATGATAATAAAATAAAAATCTAACATGTAACATCTATCCGAAATGATAAGATGGATAATGAATCGTTTCCATAGAATAATCGATAACTCGTTTATTAATTAATTAATTCAATAGCCAATTTAGATCAATTATCAACATAAAATTAATTTAAATATGTATAACATGTATTATTATCTATCCATATAATAAGTTAGTTGCTTTTACCCATCATTTTCTCATCTTTTTTTTTGTTGGATTGAAAAATTACTATTTAGCAATCCAAAAAAATGAGTTTATTGTAGCATTGCAAATAATCATGGAAAGTCAATTGAATCACAAAAAATGAGACAAATTGCATATTTGGATAGATAGGCATAACCCGTTACTTAGGTGAACACTCCAAATTTACTTGTAAAATTTGCAAAGTTCCTAAAAGCCCAAGGTAGGTTTCGTTGCTTATTTTTCTATCAAAAAGACTCAATCAAATGCAACCTACAACATCATGTTATGGCTACTAACAATCCAACACACGAAAATATGTTTAGCCTTTTTTGTTTTTTAATAATAATTTTATTTCTTCAATTGCGGTAACTTCAAAAAGTGTTCGAGGGGTTGTTTTGATGAATGTTTTGTGCTCGTTTTGATGAGTTTTTTGGGGTTTTTTTGAGTGGTTTTGAAGTCTGGTTTGAGGGTGTTTTTGGGACTACTTTGGTGGTTCAAATGGGTTGTCCAAAGGGGTTACTCTGTAAAGGTTTTGAGGGGGTTATTGGTAATACTTCCGTGGCTGATTTTTTAGGCTTTTGGTAGGTGTTTGGGTCTCGTTTTAAGGCTATTGTGTAGGGTGTTTTTGGACTTGTTTGTAACTCGTTTGATGGCTAGTTTTGGGGAGGTGTTTCATGGCTATTTTAAGGGATGTATTATTTGGGTAATTTTTGGGAGTGTTTTAGGTGTTTGATTTTTTTTCAATTATGCCCTTGATTGTCTTTTGAATTTTTTCCAACCCGTTATTTTTCTCAATTAACTCCCTTCTTTGAATCAATCTAAAATAGGCCATTCTAATTGCTCTTTTTTTTTCTATTTTTTGCTTGATTTGTTTTATCATTTTTTTAAGTATTTTTTTAATACTTAAAATAAATAAATAAATAAAAGGGAGAAAAAACTATGTGCAAACACTACATATAATTAGGTAAGTTTTAGGATCAATTTGTATATACACATTACGGATAATTATGAAAGTCTAAGGTTTCGATAAGGTTGATTAACCATTCAAGTTAATATCAACATAAGCATCTCGAATCCTTGCCTCGGATTCACATCTAGCTTCTTCATACTTAACATCCAATCTCCCACCTATAAAATCCCTTCTTGAAACCACATACATCCTAACTTGATTCAGAAAAGCTTTGAACTTTGGATGCTCTAAACTCGAAAAGGATACGGACCCACAAGACTTATAAACCCAATCGGCTAAATGATCAAGCGCACGATCAACCCGGGTCTTACTCGAGCTTGCCCCGGTGAAGTTTTAGGACTCTTTAACTTTTTTTACGGTGTCTTCCAACATAGCTAAAGCACCCAAATCCTCTTTCCTACCACACAACATCAAATGTGGCTTTGGCAACATAGCTATCTCACATCGAGAATCTTGATGATCCGTTGAGGCAGTATCCGGTAAAGCCACATTATTTTAGCACTTACCTTGTAGTCACAAAGTGAATGCAAGAAAACTTAGATGGAGTTGGATGCTTGTATAAATCAAGTTGCCATCACTATTGAATTTTCCAAGAGGTGTAAATGTCTCTCCCCCGCTTAGATCGAAACCCGGTTCCGGTCCTCTCTCTCTTTCTTGTTCCTATTATTCCCCTGTCTTTCATTCTTCCTATATGTCTAGCTTCTTAATCTGTCGAAAGAGATTTCTTCGACAAGAACCAAACAGACTACGGCCCAAACCTAAAACTATCACTATCATCTTTCTCTCTTTCTAGATTAAAGCGACCATCTAGTGAAAATTGAAAATGAAAGAATCCGAGGGAGATGAGTTACCCGAGTGGAGCTTCCACAAAACTAGGGGAACTAATAAGAACTCGTTGTTAGACTATTTGAATTTCCTCAGCAAAACCCGAGGAGTAAAGGATAATTTTTTAACTCGTTGTCTGTCATTTTTGTAGGTTTGATTGATTTTGAATGAGGATGCTCCACCTTTTGTTGTTGTCACCGTTGATTTTACGAAGGAAATTGGGACCGTGAGTTAGGGGTATGATGTTTCCGAATGACTTGCAGTGTGTAAGACTAGAAAATGAAAGGGTGTTGTTATGGTGGATGATCGTGGGTTTGCGAAAGATGCTTGGCCTTGATGAATTGGAAAGAACGAAACAGATTGAGAGGGGAAGTCAATCACTAGGAGGAACAACCTTCAATGGCACTCGAAAGAGTGGGATCCAACTACTACAACATCCGACCAAAGGAGTAAAAGAGGCTTGATTTGCAAATCTACTTTGTTAATGCAGAGAGTAGAAAAGAGGGGGACGACCGAGGTAGATGAGGGCATAAATGGGAAAGAAAATGAATTTTGGTGTTTTACATGGTTTTCCTTCCAGTTTCCTCCTAATTTTCGGAGGAAAATGGGTCCCACCTATTTTATGTTTTTTTATTATTTTTTTCTTTCCACAGCTTTCTTCCCCAACCCAAATGGTGGAAACTTTTCTTTTCACCCTTAATTTCTTTCCTCTTCCCCACTTTCCTCCCTATCAAAACACGAGGTAAAGTAGTTGTCTAGTAGGTCGCAGTGAGAACCACCAACTGCAACCTCCTTTTTTTTCTTCTTCTTATTCATAATTCTAGATTTTCTTGTTGTTTAGTTTATGTTTATAGATCTAGATCTTGTATTTAGATTATGTGGTTGCATGTTGATTATTTATTTTCATTTTGAATAAAGGTCTTGTTGTTGTTTCTAGTAGTTAGTAGTTTCGGAACTTAGATCAACGAGCTCGATAACGTTGTTCGTCCTTCTATTGATTAACTTATTGTGACTTAAAATCATACTTGTGCGAGAAATGCAATCAATTTCTATATAGGTAGCTTAGATTTGGGAATTTTTGAAGGTTTTTTCCGTCATCCAAATCATTGATAACACCAGCTTTTACTTTGAAGATTATCATACATTGCTTGTATTGTCAATTATTTTTCCAAGTGGCAAGTTATAATTTTTCCGGATGTAACCGAAAATAGTAATGTAATTGTAATTTATTTAGTACAATGAAATTCCAAATTTCTTTCGTATGCCCTTTATTTATTTTATTTTATAATTTATTATTAAAAAAAACATAGATGCATAAATGGTATATATATATATATAGAAAAAAATTTGAGTCTTGGTTGTATGAGTTTCGAAAAAAAAAAACAAGTTTTCTTTGAAAAGAGAGTGTAATTGATACAATGAGAGAGTGATACTTTCTATCTTACCTTAAAATAGAGGCATTTTTAAATTTTAAAAAATTTCTTACAGAAATGTTAACTCTTTCGTCATCTTAAGGTGGAAATTGTAATTTCAAAATACAAAGTATAAAGTGTAACGTTGCCCAAACTAAAAGATGGTGGATAAAAAAAAAAAAAAAAGAGACAGAGAAAAAAGAAAGAGGAAACTATAATTTGAGTATTTAAGTTTTGATTTTTTTTTCTATTTTGAATATACAATATGTAAATATTTCTATTTAAGTGTCCAAAATTTTATATTTTTTTCTTTTTAAATATCCATAATCACATGAGAATGAAAAATACTAACCTATCTAAGATAAACTGCTACGTGATAGTTTTTAATCAACACATGGAAAAAGGTAGGTCCTATATGAATTATTCAGAAAAAATTTTGATTTTGTTTTAGAGAAAAATGTTATTTTAGTGTCTAATTTTTAATTATTTATCTATTTGAGTGCCAAACATTTGGTTTCTTTTCTTTTTTTTTCTATTCAATTTTTCTTAGTCCCATGTGACAGAAAATATTGGCGTGGTCGGAATCTATTGACACTTGGCAATCTTTAACCGATACGTGAAAAAAATAGATTCTCGCTCGTATTTATTAAGAAAAATTATAAAAAATTATAAAAATTTTATAAAAGAAAATTTCTAGCAATAATTAGAAAAAAAAATCAAGATCCATTACTATTAGTTGAATGAACTCGACAAATTGGCCAAATAATTTCTTAAAATACTTTTAAGATATCATTATCTAAACATATCTTTTAGGATTAATAGTTGTAGAAGTCCCTCTATTCTTTCTTTTGTCTTTATCGTGTCCCTCTACTTTTCTTTCATCTTAAGTTCATCCTTCTATATTTGATTTTTATCTTAATCTTGTCCATTTGTCAACTTTTGAACAAACCGTGTTAACTTTTTTCTTTTCTATCTTAATATCATTCTTCTATTCTATTTTTATGTCTTAATCCCATCCCTCTATTCTATTTTTCTCGTCTTAATCTTGTTTTTTTTTTTTATCAACTATATATACATAAATTTTGAGAAAAAAAAAACCTAGAAAAAATGTGAAGATATATCTCTCAAAAAATAAAAAAAAATCAAAAAACTAAATAAAAGGTGAAGATAATTTTTTTTAATCTAAAATATCCTTTATAGACTTAAATTTGTCACTTTGATAATAAGCAAATTTTGAATATAGAATAAAATATTTATTGTATTTTATTCTTAAAATGTGCCCTATGATAGTAAGCAAATTTTAAATATAAAATAAAATATTTATAGTATTTTTTTTAAATGTGAAGGGAGTTTTAGTTAAATTTTTAAAATTAAAAAAAATTATAAAATCAAAATAAATAAATTATATTTGACTATTTTGAGGTATTATAAAATTATAAATACCATTCAAAGGTTTTAAACTTAACTAAAATTCTCTTCACATAAAAAAAATACAATAAATATTTTATTTTATACTTAATTTTTTTTTACTAACGTAGAGATAAATTTAAACCCATAAAAGATATTTTGGATACAAAAAATATTTTTAGCTTCACTTTTTTATTTTAATTTTTATAGAGAATGACCAGATATATCTTTACATTTTTTTTTAGTTTTTTTTTTAATTTTATTTATTTCAATTTAGTGAAAAAGAAGAAGAAGAAGAAGCTAGATCAAGATAAAAATATATATATATATATAGAGTAGAGAGATGAGATCAAGACATAACAAAACAAGTTAATGCTTTTAGTCTAAAAGTTAATGGAGAAACGAGATTAAGACAAAAACCTAACCATTAACCCATTTTCAAAAACCAAACCATTAACCCATTTTCTTTATCCAATCCAAACCTCGAATCTTCTAAACAATTCGAGTTCATTAGGCAAAGAACAATTGATTTTGATTCATTTATTTTTTAATTTCCAATTAATTTTCTTTTATAAAAGTTTTATATAATTTTTTTTTCTCCGAGGGATCCATTTTTTGGTCATGTGTTTGTTAAATATTATCGTTGCAAGTAGAACTAGATCATGTTAGTATTTTCTAGTTTTAGGTGACTGAGAAAACTCAAATAGAAAAAAAAAATCAATTATTGGGCCTTCAAATTATATTTTTTTCTTAATAATTCAAGTGAAACTCATTTTTTAACCACATACCGAGTTGAAAATTATCATGTGGTAGTTCATCTCAAACACATCAAAATCTTTCAATTTTAGGTGACTGTGAGCACTCAAACATTAAAAAAAAAATTAATCAAAACTTGAGCAATCAATTAGAACAATTATTGGTTGAAGATTCAAATAGAAAGAAATAAAAAATTAAGCACTCAAATTATAGTTTTCTAAAAAAAAAATCAACTATATAGTGTTTTGGTACGATGGGTGATGAAAGAAGAATAGGAAAAAAAAAAAGTACAAAATCTTGGATGTTAACAGTGGTATCTTGGCAAGGAGAAGAAGGCATTTTTCAATAAATTTGCTGCTATCGTACTTCAACTTTATCTTGAGATTTTAAAAGCTAACAAAGAAACCTTTTGTTTTTAATTGTAATTTTGATGTAGCAAGAAGAAGAAACTGAAGGGTTTCTTGGTTTCTTTGGGTGCGGCAACAATAGCAAAACTAAAAGAAGAGCAAAGAAGGAAGTGAGCTGATCAGAAATTAGGAATTTATGAAAGTTTAAAACAACATAATTTTAAGTGTTTAATTTATTATTATTTTCTTTTTAGTCTTTGAACTGGGTAGGTCAGTTCGAATTGACCCTTCTGTAAGATGAGTTTTTTTTTTTTTTTTCCAAAACAGTATATTTTTAAATTTTATTTATAAAAATAAGGTTATTTTAATTTTATTTATCAAAACAAGATAGTTTTTATCATGTGGATCAAATCATTTACATGTGTTAGTTTTTTTTAATGCAAAATTCACTAATAATTTTATAAAATTTTAGAAACAAATATTATTTATAATATACTCGTTTTATTAATTATGATTATTAGATAGAATTAAATACTAGTAGATCCAATTCTATCAACTCATCAACAAAATCTAAAAATAATTGCTCTAATAAAGTTAAAATAAATAAACTTTCAAGAATCAATAACTCCAATCTCTTTCTATGAAAATTGAAATGGCTCAATTTCAAGACCATCGAAGAAACTGGGATCAAGTCAACAGACCAATGCCAAAATCCAAAACTAGGCAAAACCCAAAACAAATTTATTGTTTGCCAAAGTGTGACTTTCTTTATTGAGGGTTAAGAAGTAGTGGGAATCCACAAGACCACAACTTAGTACCACATGTCTGGTAACAGTGGCTACCAAGGCTGTCATGTTGTTGGCTCGTCAACATTGATAATGACATTTGTCGAGCAAATAGGATGCTCCACGCACTCGAACAAAATTGCTACCGGACTGGATGACCCTATTGATTAATAAGCGTATTATTATTTATTGGTTTTGGATTTTAGGTTTTTTAACCTAGCTTCATTTATTTGATTGTTGAGCCATTTCATTTTTGGTAGAGAGAGATTGCTCTAGAGTTACTGATTCCTAAAAGTTTATTTATTTTAGCTTTATTAGAATAATTATTTCTAGATCTTGTTGATGAGGTTAGATCTATTAATATTTGATTTCATCTAGTAATTATAATTATTGAAATATGTGTATTGTAAATGATATTTGTTTTAAAAATTTTATA